GGGAGCTGCGCCGTACAAGGGAGGGAGTCCAGGGCCAGGGGCCACCCCCGGCACCTCACACGACCGGAGGGGTGGGGACAGAAGGGGGCACCCACGTCCCCTGGGACATAGCCCAGTCGCAGTGGGAAATGCCCCCACCCTGATGGGTGCCCAAGAGGCACATCCCCATCCCAGTGGGACTCCTCACCATGCCCACGGGGCCCTTCCCCATCCCGGTGGGTCACATCCCCATGCAGCTCCATGAGGCACATCCCAAACCCCGGGAGGCACATTCCCAAGCCCACATGTCCCCACATCCCCATCCCTCTACGCCCAGGCAGGGCTCAGCACCCCCAGGAAACCCCAGGTGTCCAGGCTGCCCCCCACTCACTCCGCCCTACAGCCAGTCCCAGGTCCCACTGTAATCACCCACAGCTCTTGCAACACCTCAGTGCTGACCCGCTGACGTGCGTCCCTGTGCCTGGCCTTGACCAGGGCTGGGCCCCCCCCTAGGGCAGGAGGGAGCATCACTGGGGATGGGGACACGGAGGGGACAGCAGAAGCAGCTCCTAGCCCAGGGCTGGGGGGGGCCACAGGGCTGGTAACAGGGTCAGGAACTGCCCCCCAGGTGCAGGGCCCTGATAACTCCTCCCCACGCAGGGCTCAGGAGCAGCCCAGGGCTGTTTACAGCCAGTCCCATGATACTGGGGGACACGTGAGGCTCTTATCAGCTGCCCCCATCCCAGCTCCCTCCCAGGGTGTGGGTTCAAGGAGGGGCAGGGCAGAGGCCATGGGGGCAGCACATGACAGGGCCCCCCCCTGGCACCCCCCACAGCCCCAGGACCACTGGCAGCACTGGCATACGAAGGAAATCTTTATTGAGTCCGAGGTAGCAGCAGAGGGGGGGGAGGGGTGGGGGCTGCCCCCCCAGGGACCCCCCGAGCAGGATGGTTGGGCAACATCTGGTGTCTGCACCACTACAGCAATGGAGGCAAAGCTGAACGCAGCACAGCCTGCAATGGGGGGGATGCCCCAACAGGGCCAGAGCCCTCCCAGGAGGGGCAAGGACCAGCCCCAGTCCTTACTCAAGGAGGAATCACTGCCAGGGGATCTTAATTAAGTCATTAAAAATAAAAGTGGCCTCCCATAACTGCTAATCTAAAGCTACAGCACAGCAGGGGAGTCACCCCAGGGGCAGGCAGCCTCAGCACTGCACCCCTCTCTAGAAACTCAGCGCCAAGACATTTATATTAAAAAAAAAAAATACTTCAGTGACAACACTATGCAGAACTGAGGAAGCCCCAGAGACGATGGCAGCCCCCATCCCACAGTGGGACAAGCCTCCCCAGCTCCTGGAGGGGAGGGTGGCAGCAGGGAAGCAGGAGCAGGCGAGTCCCAGTGCCCTCACACCTTCAGGACAGCATACTTGAAGACAGCCATGATGGCAGCACTGATGAGACCCGAGATGGGGACAGTGACGAACCAGGCCATGAAGATGTTGCGGAAGAGGCGCCAGTCCACCGCCTTCCTGGAGCGCAGCCAGCCCACCGAGACCACAGAGCCCACCTGCTCGAGGAGCCGGGGCACAGCTCAGCATTGCAGGGGGATGGAGCACCCACTGGGTGTCCACCACCCCACAGCCCTTCCTGGGGTGCCCGGGGAAAGCCTCAGCCATGGGGCCAAGGGTCTTGGCTCCAGCCCCTGGGGACCCAGCAGACCCCAGGCAGAGAGAGGAGGGCAAAGAGTTGCCATCCTGGAGCAGTGATGGGGACAGGGTGCTGCAGCACCAGGGTTCCCATGGCTGCTTGGCCCAGGGATCCATCAAAGGGGTTTTGTTCTCCCATCACCCTCCTTGAGTGCCCCCTCACCCAGGGACTCCCTCCCCAGCCCTGGGCAGCCGCAGGTTTTGTTCTCCCATCACCCTCCTTGAGTACCCCCAGCCCCGGGCAGCTGCTGCCACCCTGCATTCAGATGCAAATTTGTGTGAGCTGGAGCCTGAAGGCCAGCCAGCAGTCTAGTTTGGGACCTCCCCCCCAGCCTAGCCTTATTAGCACCAGGATTCGGGGGACACTGAGCTTGCGCCAAGCCTGCACCATCCCCTCCTGCCACCCCCACCTACCTTGCAGTGAGTTGTACTGATGGGGAGGCCAATATTGGAGGCGATCACCACCGTCAGGGCAGACGCCAGCTCGATGCTGAAACCACTGCAGACAGAAAGCACATGAGAACCCGGGCACCAGACCTCCCCCAGCACTGCCCAGCACATCAGGCTGGCTTAGCCCGAGCCAGACCTGGGACTGCTCGCCCCAGGCAGACCCTGCACAGCAGGGTCAGCTCCTCCCTTGGCTCTCCAGCCCCCCAGCAGCCCCAGATTGACCCCCCCAAGGGATGCTGGGAGGTGTTATGGGGCCACACATGCCCCAGCTCCACCACCCAAGCAATGAAACCCCCAAAGAGAACATGGAGAGGGGCTCCAGGAGCAGGATGCAGCTCTAGGACTGCTTGAAGCCTCCCCTGCCTCAAGGCAGACCTTACCTTGATGGTGTGATGGGAGTCAGGTCCTTCCCCATTGTCTGGATGACTCTCCTTCCCCAGACCCACAAGCCAATGCAAATCCCTGCACCTCCATAGAGCAGCAGCCAGATGGGAGTTGCCACCTTGGTAGACACATCACCTGTCTGATAGACCAGGTAGAGCGCGACCAGGGGCCCTATGGCATTGCTGGAAGAGAAAGGAGAGCTGGTCTAGAGTGCCAGAGGCTCTGGGCAAGGTGGGCACCAGCCCCAGCAAGCAACCCCACCGCTCCTGCGGAGCCAACTGACCTGACATCATTGCCACCATGAGCGAAGGAGCCAAAGCAGGCCGTGAGGATCTGCAGGAACTGGAAGAGGAGGGACACCTCGGGTTTGTCCTGGTCATGCCATTCTTCCAGGGAGCTACTGCTGCCCTTGTGGTCACTGACTCCCATCTCCACCTGGGCTGTGTTCAGATCCACATCAGCAGCTGGGTGGGCATCCGCCACTGCATTGCAGTAGCTGGTGTAGCTGTCCATGCGGACCCTCTTCTTGGTGTCCACCACAGGCCAGGTCAGCTTCTCCATCTCCTCCCCCTCCTTGGCACGGAGGGAGTCCAGGGGCATGCCACAGATGGCCATGGTGTAGGAGGTGTAGCTGTTGTTGCGCCGCAGGGGCTTGTCCCCCGAGTCCCCCATGCAGTCCCCCATCTTGGCCAGGTGCAGTTTATGCAGCAGCTCCTTGTAGAGGCCGGAGTCCTTGTGCACAGTGTGGTACTGGTACTGCCCGCTGGAGCTCATCTGGTGGCCCACGGCCTGGTTGAACTGGACAAGGTTGCCATTGGGCAGCCGCACAGCTCCTGCCAAGAGAGACAGCAGGGGTTTAGCACCCATGGGTGCCTGGGGCAGTGGGAGACCGCCCCAGCACCCCCATATCACCCCCCCCACCAACAAGGTTGCCATTGGGCAGCCGCACAGCTCCTGCCAAGAGAGACAGCAGGGGTTTAGCACCCATGGGTGCCTGGGGCAGTGGGAGACCACCCCAGCACCCCCATATCACACCCCCCCCCACTCACCACTGTCGATGCTGGTTTCCTTCAGGTCAAGGCTGGGGAGCCTCTCCTGCTCCAGGGCCTCCTCCATGTCCCCAAGGTTGAAGGAGACCGTCCTCTCCTCCATCGCTGCCCGGTGGGGCACAGCTGACCCCACATCAGCAACAGGGCTCTTGGCATCACCAAGGGGCACCTTGGGCTCCTCATGGTCCTCCTTCGGGCTGATATTCTTCTCCATCAAGGGGCTTTCAGAAGGGCTGGATTTGATCTCTCCTGTGAAGGGAGGCAGCTGCCATCAAACCCCTTCCCACCACCACACCCAACACCAGAAGCAAGCCCACGCCCCTCACCACTCAGATTTATGGCAGCTAAATAAAAGTTTACAGCTTCCCCCCCATCCTGAACTTTGGAAACTGCTGGGCAGTCACACCTTGTCCTGGACACAACAGCCAAACCATCACAAGCCAGCTCATCCCCTATTTTTAGACCCCCCCCACCCACACAGGGTGTGGTGAGCAGCATTATGGGGCTTTTATGCCTGTTCTTCCTACAGCAGAGGTTCCTCTTCGAGCCATATTCGTCCCATTCCCAGAGGCTGTGGGATGCTCTGGACCTGCTTCTGGGGTGGTTGCAACCCCTGAAACTGATGGGAAGGTGCTCAGAAGAGCCCAGCTTCTCTGCCAACCCATCAAGCTCCAGCCTTGCTGGGAGGACTCACCCGCCTGGGCTCCCCTCCAGCTCCCACCGGTGGGTGACGGACCCAAACAGGAGCCAGTCTCCACCTCGAGGGCAGCCTGGTTCCCTGTCCCACTGGAAGAGCCAAGCCAGCAGCACCAAGCCCTGGAAGCCGAGGCTGTTATTCCCCCTCTACCAGGAAAAGCATGTTTCCTCCAGGTGAAAACATGAGGTCAGCTCCTTCAGACAACAACAAAACCCACCTCCTTGTCACAAACATGACCATTGCCCAGCCAGTTTGCTCGCTGCAAGGGCCAGGCTGTGGCATCCAGCCCCTCACCCCGGCATCAAGCCCCTGCATCGCCACCTCCTCCCAGCAATGCTCTCCGGCAGGCGGGCTGCCTTAGCAGGCAGGGGAGCCTGGCTGGCAGGCAGGAGAGCCTGCCTTGCAGGCAGGAGTTAAGCTGAAGCTTGAACAGCTGGAAGAATGTCAAAGGCAGCCATAAAGCTGTTAGTCACACCCCAATTACACCAGTCTGACAAGGACACTGGTTATCCCCTCATGTCCAGTTCCTTAAGTGCCTCAGACTGCACACAAAATTTATATGCAAGACCACACACGACTCCAGGAGAGCTGCCTGTACTTTTCAGGAGGCAGAACTTGGGACTGCTCTTTTGGATGCCTTTCAATAGAGATTTTTTTTTTTTTGCTACAGAAAAAGGATTTCATCAGCTTACACAGCTTTAAACTTGTGATCTGCATCTGCCAGGCCAAAGATTGATCAGCAGGTATACAGAGGATTAAAGGTTACACCAGTTAACAGGCAGGTTTGTCTCCTGCCTTCTCTTCTTCTCTATTAAACAGTGAAATCAGGCTGTTTAATATTGCCTGCTGTCCCATGCAGTTCAAGGGGAGATCACCCTGCTCAGAAATCAGCTCCCAGACACCACTCAGCAGCACAACAGCTACTTCGAGGGGTATTTTGGGGTCCC